CTCTAGGAAATGAGCCAAAACTTTGGTCATGAGCCAAAACGTTCTATGTACAGCATTCACTCACCTTCTTTTTCTTTCTTTTCCTGGTTTTCTTCTGCTGCAGTTTTATCTGCTCTGAAAAAAATTCTTGCACTACTTAGTGAGAAATAAAGAAGTTCAAATTCCTAAGGAAAAAGATAGCGGAGTGTCAATATATCACAAGAATGAATTTGTAGACAGATATAAATGGGATTTTTCAGAAGCATCTAAGGGAACTAGATTTCAATATCTAAATCACTTAAAATGCTTTTGAAAAAATCTTCCTCCATTCATACCTTGTTCACATGCATTTTTACAAAGCAAATGTCAGCCAAAAACTTTAAAGGGTAATTTAAGCAAAGCAGCATCAGTGCAATAAATCTGTTTCTAGTCCACTGAGGCTGAAAATGAGGTTTGTAGCAGCAGGGAGAATTTGGAGCCACTTGCCCATGGAAAATCATGGAAGCCAATAATTTAAATGACCACAAGCCTGATCGGTTTCTGAACAATGTGTGATGTGGATTTTTTAACAACAGAGGACCAAACAGAGCGCACACTTGTGGGAGTCATAAGGACATACAGCGCTTTATCTATTTCAACAACCAATGTGCTTTTACAGAATGTAATCATGGGTTATTTGCAAATAGCCAACTACTGATTTGTCCCAAAGCCTCCTCAAATCAAGAGCAGAGAGAGAAAGCATTTACACCACCGATGAAACCTGAACTGCTGTGATTCAAAATTCAAATGCATCTTCCCTCTATTTGACAGCTAGTGCATCATTCAACTTAGCAGCTCAGAGTTAACACCCAAGCAACTCTGAGGGTTCACAGTGTTATGTAAAATCTTTGCTGTAAGAACTTTAACCAAAAAGTTATTCTCTCCTATTTAAGCATTTTAGTTGCACTAGATTTCAAACTCCATGGGACAAAGACTTCCAATCAACCAAGTCAAGTTCCTGCCTCACTCAAATACCACGAACACTTACAACATCCCCTTCAGATCACACACCTCAAGTTCTTATACTCTTTTTGCATTGTTCTATAGACAATGCTCTACGTTTTTTGCTCTTGAAGAGCTCCATCAGAAAACAGATACCTGAATTGTGACAGATAAGTGCAGCACTCAATACAGAACAGATAACTAGACCCATGCTATACCTGTAAACAAACTTCCAGTCGCTTGTGGGTAAGGTTCATAGTTTGTAGTAGTTTTTCATCTTGATTAGTGGACTGCACATTCTGTTGCTTAGCTACCGCTCTTATTTCCTTCACATACTTCTCTCTAACAGACTGGAACCAGTGCAGAGAATCAAACTCCTGGTACTGATCCAAAAGCTTCAGAATGTAAGCCACACCTAGAGTCATTAACAAACCATGTACCAAAGTCAGGATGTTATTTGTAACACGTTTTGTGAATGTCTTTAATGGATCAGCCTAAGTTGATAATTTCCACACAAATAGAATTTAAATTGCAATTTAAACAGGAAGAAGTCATAATAAAGAACAAGCTTCAATTTTTGAAAACCTCAGAACTTATCCAAAGACTTGCATACCTTCTCATCTGCTGAGATCCGCAAGCTTTGAAAGAAATTGGGGAGCACCAACATACGACAAAACTGTCTGCTCCCATACTCAGCTATTCCTTGCTTAGGAGATTCTGAACACAATCAAATCCACTGTGCTGAAGCCAAGACAACCCAAATTTAAATTATGGAATCTTTAATTATGGGAACACACAAAATATAAAAAAACCTTTTCTTGCAAATATCCATTATGTTGGCTTACTCAAAGGCTAGTCAGTGTGCTGAAACTTACCCATGGCAAATCCATCATCAGTGAAAGCTGCTCCACTTTTGTTCTTCTTATTCAATTTCTCCTTGCAACTGATTGAATGCTCTACAAAATTGAGGGTCTGAAAGAGTGAAAAACTATGGAAGTGTGTGTACATTAACAACTTCTCGAAAACCTATGACAGTTTCAAATCTAACTACATTGAAATGCCTTTTTAAAACTAAAATGGATGGTATATTCCTGAAACTGTATTTATCAGAAAAAACTCCACAAATGGGAAGGAAAAAGAACAAAAGTATTTGTCATGAGCCTTTACTTCCCCTCACTTCTATCACCATACCTGTCCTCTCACAGTCTTAAGTTTCTGGCTCATTGACGTTTCAAAATTAGTTTTTAAAATGGGATGCTACACATTAACCTGTTAGATCATTTAGGCCTTCAAACTGAACTGTTTCCAAATGCCCAGAATGCCGCACTCAAGTGTGCATCACCTCAATTCACCTGGACTCTTTCTAAACAAAGAAAAGGCAGGTCCACTTGCAATAGGGAATGCCCCAGTCGTACTGCATTAGATCATGACATTAAAAGAACCCGAAGATAGCTAATGTGGTGTGGAAAGAGCACACACATGAAAGCGCTGAAGAACATGGTTTTCAACTCCCTTCACCCTTGCTGCTCCAATTCCTCCTTTTTCATCTTGGCTTCTCCAAATTTGATTCAAACAGGAAGAGAAGAAATTTTTAATGAATTGATACAAACAAAGGAAAACATGGCTTTGGACAACTATCAGCAAAGCCATGCTCAAAGCAATCCCACTCATGATCAGGGAAGAAAGTACAATATGATAACCAACAGCCTAATACAAAATATTTAAACACAAACCTGATCTGATAAATTTTTTTAAAATAAGTACTGGTACACACAGTGTAAATACTAACCAGTGGGGGAACAATTATATAGAAGTTCCGCAAATGCATGTTCTTTGGACTGCGGAATTCAGGAGCAAATACATCCACGAGCATTTTGAAGTACTCCGTTCCTTCTGCAAAGTTACGTGTGAGGTCACTGAGGACAGAGTCCAACTGCCTGCAAAAGATAGGCAATGTGTTACCGGGTTTCTGTTAGAAGTTTCCTTGCTTACCCTTCAAGGTAACAACCCTCTCTTCACTCTTTGGCTGCACCTACAATCCAGTATTTGGACTAGAGCGTCCAAGACTACACCCTACCTCTACAGCCACCTTGAATCATGTTTCTTGATCTCAAAAAAGGCTTATGAATACTCTCCTAAGGCCCTGAACATTCTAAAAGTAGATGTCAGGCACGTTGGAGGAAAGCTTGTTAGCCTTTAAACCACAAGGATTTTATCAAGAAACCAGGTTCTAACAGTCTATTAGTACCAATCATAGAACCACAGAACATCGCAAGTTGGAAGGTATCCATAAGGATCATTGAGTCCAACTCCCCACTCCTCGCAGGACTACCTAAAACTAAACCACATGACTAAGAGCATTTTCCAGACGCTCCTCGAACTCTGACAGGCCTGGTGCCGTGACCACTTCCCTGGGGAGCCTGTTCCAGTGACTGCCCACCCTCTCAGCAAAGAACCTTTTCCTAATGTTCAGTCTGAACTTCCTGAAATGCCACTTCGCATTCAGCATTTTTAAAACAACTGCTTCTATTCTCTCTGCTGTTAAGAAGAGCAAATATTTTTGTGTAAAAATCAGTTGAACTTTTAACACACGCACACACAAAAATGCAACTAACAGCTGCATTTACAACTTTAAAATTACAATCCTCTCATCCCATCCCTGCCCCAGACCTCAAAAGCATGCTGTCAGGGTACCTTGCTGCTTTTTGTGTTTCTTCCGAGAGTCCTTCTTCTTTCACAAGCTCTTCAAAGTTAACGATATCTTCCAGATCAGGGACAAACCTGAAAACTTCCTGTTTGTTAGTATTATGTTCAACTGTCTATGTTCACTGAAACATCAACCATAATTTATAATTTAGTTAATTTATAGTCTTCTGGGCTTGAACTACGTACTTAAAGTTCCATCATACCATCTCCTCTCTCTAGCACTTGCTGCACTTGATAACTATAAGTTTACTAATATTTGAAAGAAAACCAAATATTTCTTTGTATGTAAAAGTCACTACATTTTAATGACCTTACATAAACGCAGACAGTCATCCATATAGAAAGAAGTATCAAAGAAATGTTTTTCCCAACTTCCTCAAGGCTTGTACTGTTTTTCCTTAATGCACCCTCTCGAAGTGACCAACATCAGGAATTACTTAATTAAGGACCAATGACTTAGATGTACATTCTATTAACACTTTTGCAGTATTTTTCCATAGAATTTGTTTGATTTTTGGTGTTCTATGGCAATGATTGTACGGTTCTGAATTCCAGCACTGTTTTTGATAAATCCACTTCAATGAAGACATAAAAATGGACCTTTTTTAATCAAAATTTATGGGGGATGGGCAAGAACCTAGGGAATATCAGCATGAATAGGGAGCAAAGGAATGAGAAGGAACAAAGAGAAAAATGAAATATTTGTGGAAGTACCTAATTGCACTACTACAGCAGTGAAGTCCACCAGATCTTATCATTCGTACATAACCCATAGCATTGCCTTTAAAAAAAAAAAAAAGAAAAAACAAGGAAGTAATTTATAATTATTTAAATATATACACACACATCCTTTTCATAACTCCTATAAGCTCCAAAATGTACATTAAAGTTGCCATACGGTTTTGGCAAAGAAGCTGTTCTGAAAGCCAAGTTTAAAAAGTTACATTGAATCCCAGTATCAAAAGTCAACATAAGGAAAGAAAACACAAATGCATCATCTAGCAAGGTTGTGTTCACTTTCATGAGAGCATACAGGCCAAATAGTACAAACTCTTTTTACTGGACACATTAAACACTTGCAAGTTCACGGCAGCCCTGTGCATCTACAGCGTCAATGGCTGAAAATACCATTGTAATGTCACGTATCACTCAAAGTTAGTGCAGCTGGATATATGGCCCTTTTCTGAAATACACGAACTTAAAAGAGTACTATTTTTTTACTGGGAAATACACTCAAAGTCACTTCCATGACATAAAGAAAAGACAAACTTAAAGGGGAACAGGCATTTATGTAAGCTGTAGCTATATTTTAGATTAACACATGCAAGGGCCATTTCTGAGTAACTGGATGAGAGTATTTATTTCACATGGGATACAACTGAAGTATTTTCCATCTGACTAGAGTTAAATCTAGTTTTAGCCTGAGCTAAATGTTCAGTTACTAGACTATGAAGACCTCTTCCATTTAATACCATTTAGAACATTGTCTTAGATAGCATTTCATACCAATTTGACTTATGAGTTGTCTGAACTGGTCAAGATAGCTCTGGCCATCCGGGGTTATCCCAAGTTTTCTGATGCCGCGGTTGAATTTATCTGCTCTTTCAAAGGGATACTAGAAAAATATTTTAGAATAATTTGTCAGAATAATTACCTACTCTTAAAAAAAAGTTTTCATCATGTCAATACAACTCTATTCACCTTTTTTTTTTTTTAATAAATTATACACCTGCCTATCTATATTAGTTTGCAAAAGTCATTTTGCTAAGTCACTTCTGCAAGCTGAAAAGTGAAATAGAAGTCTTACTGTGAACAAGAAGGTATTCCTAAAAGAAATAAGTACTCGACATACAAGAAGCTGGCAGCCTATTTTACTAAATACACTGTGTCTCACATTTTTGAGAAATCAATTTTCCAGCATGGAAAAATCAGACTCTAGTCCCCAAATCTTGACGTACTGGAGTAAGTGCTACATATTCACATCACTTTGGATTCAATTTGAATAATCTTATTATTAAAAACTGACACCAACTGTTAAGCACGTTTTGGACCATAAGTTTAGAACATCCAACAGACCGTGACTCCATCAAATTATTGTTTTCAGGTCACCGAGAGAATGATTTTAGCCAATCACATATTTACAGAGCAGCCAGAATGAAACAAAGCCATCCTGAATACCGACATTTGTAATACTAAATTTTGCTAGGACAAAAGCTGTCATTTTTTCTGGAGATACACATTTAAATAACAGAAATGTTATGATTTGGTGCACCTTCAGTCACATGAAAGTAGCACTTCTTTTAGCTAGTTACTCTCAATCCTTCAAAAATTACTATACCTTGTGATCATTTTGATCCTTGACTTCCCTGAAGAATCTGATGTCTTTGATAAGTCTGGATTTGATATGTTCATCATACATGAACTGGCTAAAAATGTAAAACTTTTTCCTCAAAAATTGGTAAGTGAAGTTTACCTAGAAGAAAAAAAAATAGTCAAATCAAGAAAGTTAGCAAAGTAACAAGCATGGCAACCCATTTTCAGTAGATTCCAGAGTAACTTGTATTTATGATGAAGTAAATTCCAAAAATGGAACCTTTTACTCAGTTTACTTCCATTTGTTATTCTCAACTTATTTTTTTAATTTCACTGGTTTAAAAGAATAAAGAAAACCCTTCTCCTGGAAGGCCTACTCTCTTCCAGGAAGGCAGAAGGACCAAGGGACAAGTTCGCTATTTCAGTTTGATGACCTGCCCTACACAGCCATTAGTTTATGTCCGGAATATCCTGTAACTGTCCTTGGGAAGCAATACAAACATTTCAATTTGAAAAGGGCAAACAAGCTCAACTTGCTCAGTTAACCTGGGGAATCTGCATAACCTCCTGACACACCCTTTCACTTCCTCAAAGTTTTCTAAAACACTCTCCCATAAGGCAGAAGCACACTTCTACCCTACACATCTCAACTACTTCTCATGTCTGCATAACAACTTTACTCACAACCTGAAGTGAATAAATCTACATCACCAGTAAACAATGCGAGTAACAGCATTTTTTTTTAACTGAAGTCCCCAAGATTAACTATTCCAGTAACAAGAAAATAATTCTCAGAACAATAGCGCAAGAGAAGTTATTTCCAATAGTGCAAGAAAGCATGAAAACCTTATTTTTCTAATACTTTCCACTTTTCAAGTAATGACTTGAGAGCAAGTTCAATATTGCAGCAAGTTCCTTTTTTTTTTTTTTTTTTTTTTTTTTTAGGGCCAACAAAAAGGGAAAAAAAAAACA